CGAATCCTCAGAAATTCGTACCAGCAAAAGCTCGAGATAATCTCTGTATTCCCATATTATACGTTGATAGAGATTGGGCTGATCCAAGAAGAGTTCTGGCTGTTGTCATGAACGTCGAGATTGCTATCTACAAGTTGGGAAGAGAACATGATTTCCTCAGACAATTGTATTTCAAAAGCTAGTTTTTCATTCTGCAACAGAAACTATTCACAGAGGAATGCGTGGGCGCAGAATAAAAATATCTACTACATCTCTTTCCAGTCACTGACGGGCGGTCAAAGATACAGCATATGCATTTGCTCTACTAAGGACTCAACCAATCATTGCAAATGTTGCAATAAGAAATTGCTGTGCGGTTCGCAATATCATCGAAGTTCACCTTGCTTCAACAAGCGATGATAATAAATAAAGGATAAAAAAATTAATTTAATATCATGCTTTTTTTTTTCAGACTTTGGCTAATCCTCGTTACCATTTTACGCTGGCCAAAGCCCAATAACAATTTTTTAACTACATATTGTTACGTATTTTGTATTTATTTAGCTATTTCTAGTAGAATTTGTAATTAAAATTGTTTTATTTTCGCGTGCAATGCAGCACGAGACTTATTTGAAGATAAAGCCACGCCGGAAAAACTAAAATACAGGAGCACGCGCATTTAACATTTTAATTAATAGATATCTCGTAAGTGTACTCTTTTGCTATCCAGAAAAATCTAGAAAATACCAGAATACTCTCGTGCGTGATTAGAAAGCTTATATAAGCTGGAGGAAAACATCTCAATTCAATTGTTTACTTAGTTCTTGTTGTTGATTGTAGTGAATTCGCGGTGAGATCGGATTAGCTTTCTCTGCTTTGAATTGAGTTTTATTAAACGTTTTAATAGTTTAAAATATAACTACTGTAAGATATTGCGACATTGTACGAATATCTCTGAGGAAATTTCAGCATTTTGTTATACTTATTGGGATAAGAATAAACTTTATTGACTTTTTATCGACTTTTGCATTCAGTCCATTACGAACCCGTACGCACGCAACAATATTAAATGCGTGAATATTTCAGAGACGAAATGGGGTTTTATAAACAAGAAGTAATCTTAAATTTTCGCATTGTTAAATTATTACATTTAATTCATTGTAATCCAACACACTCTGTTCAATCATGTTAATTATTTAGATAATGGAATATTAATTTTTTTTATTTAGTTCATTATTGAGCCAGAATGGGATTCAAACGGTGTCCGCCGATAACATCGTGGCAAAAACATCGCAGACGAAAATGTCGCAGCGAAAACAACGCAAGGCAAAAACGTCGTGCTACAAAACATCGTGGGAAAAAACATCGCAAAGAGAAAACATCGCAGTTCTAAAACATCGTGGTACAAAACATCATCGTCGAAAATAAAGCGGTTCAAAAACTTCGCAGTTTAAAAACATCGTCGTCGAAAATATCGTGGTAAAAAATAAAGTACCTACAAATCATCGCGTGACGATAACATCGCAGACATGCTTTTTTCAGACTTTAATAACTGTAAATAGATATTCCCATAATAATTTGTGAGCGCAAGATAGAAACAAGGATAATTTGTTTTTCACGTTTTATATTAACTAATAAATTTTTGCTGAAAAAATAAGAAGGAAACTTAAGCATAGAAAATTAAATGCAACTTATAGCTTATACTTTTCATAGAATTTTAAACCGTACATAGTTAAAAACTTTATACAAAATGACCATTTAATAATGGCCATTTTTAGTAAACTTTTTACTGGTTTAAAATTTTTCATAAAAGTGCTAAATATAGAAGTTGCATTTAATGTTCTATGCTTAAGTTTCCTTGTTACGTTTTCTCAGCAAAAATTTATTAGTTAATAAAAAAATGTGAAAGTAAAAATTATCCTTATTTACATCTTGCGCTCACAAATTATCATGGGAATATCCATTTACAGTTTATTAAAGCATGTCTAAAAAAACAGCATGTCTGCGATGTTATCGTCATGCGATGATTGTAGATACTTTATTTTTTACCACAATATTTTCGACGACGATGTTTTCAAACTGCGAAGTTTTTGAGCCGCTCTATTTTCGACGACGATGTTTTGTACCACGATGTTTTAGAACTGCGATGTTTTCTCTTTGCGATGTTTTCTCCCACGATGTTTTGTAGCACGACGTTTTCGCCTTGCTTTGTTTTCTCTGCGACGTTTACGTCCGCGATGTTTTCGGCTGTAACCATTCAAGCAGTAAAAATTAAGCACAAGTGTACTTCTAATTAGACGAGTACCCTATCCTAGCGACTGTGCTTGAAGAATTGGAATAATCATTTTAAAACGTCGTGCAGTCATTGTCCAAATAATTGGAATGGACATCTTCTAAAAAATAAAGCTAACTGTTATCAATTATTTCGTCATTAGGAATCTGTGCACTTTGTATGTAAATATCTAAACAACAGTTTAAATTCAGCAATTTTTGGTCAGTAATTTTTTTTGGTCTAAAACTAGAGTGAATTTCTGACAAAATAAAGTGAGGATAGTTTTGAGTTACATAAAAAAGGAATTATTAAGCTGCACTTAAGAAGAGTATTAATTTATTAATTTATTAATTTAAAAAATTAAAAAATTTGGAAAAGTTTAATGTTTAGCTGACTCAGTTATTATTGCGAACAGATACTCTAAATTACTGAACTTAAATTTGGGTAATATTTGTAAATGCTCTGTCCCTTGTTAATATCTTAAAAATGCGAACTTATACGAAATTCTTTAGAGATAAATACTGTATTTATTCGCATATTTCTCCCCCAGGATTTTCATGTAATTTAGAAACTTCTGATTTATGGTAACAATGTAAAATGTATGCGCAAATAGGAAATTATTTTGTATAAGTAAAAAGAACGTCATTTTAATTGATGCGTCCTCTGAAATACATAACACATTAATACTAGCGTGTTTTTATGTGTGCTTTTTAGTGTCCTATGCTTATTATTTAAGCCGTCTGTTTAGAAATAGAAGAAATATAAGCCGTCTTTTATAGCTATTTCTCCCGTATCTTTCTCAACTCAATTTTTAAGCGATAAAAATAGTAGAAAAATGAGGGAATATGGGAGAAAATACGGTATGCACAAAATTTGTACAAATCGAGTACAACTTGAATATTGAGAGAGGTTATTCCGGATTCCAAAAATTCTTAGGAAGCCATTTCGACCATTTTCATCTTTGTACGATTTTAATAAGCCGAGATAATAATTAAAACTCTGAAAACACCAATTTTCGCACGCATTTTTCTGAATGACAATAGTCTTGGTAGTTGCTGGAGAAAAAATGCTTTATTTCGAAAAGTGTTGACACTGTTCGCTTTCAAATCGTATAAGTTTTTAATAAAAAACTTCTAAGTTTTACAAAATATGAAATAAAAATAGCACTGTCAAACATTAAATATGTTCTTATTATATAAGGTCATATTCCGACGTGCAAGAAAACACGCGACTGTATGTGAGTCATTGTGCCGAAAATGTTTCGTTAATGTTAGCATCTTCATTTCTTTATATATATAAGCGGCTAAAGTGTGTGTCGCCGATAGTTTATTGTTGCCACTCGGAAAAATGAGCTCGCAATTAAAGTTTCCACAATTTTTAATTAATATCTCGGCCGATTAATGTCATACGAAGATGAGAACGGTATCGATGGATTCGGAGAATTTTTTGGAATCCGAGGATATGCGTCTCGAATTTCAACTCGGCGCAATTCCGTAGATATTCGAGAAAAAAGAATTTTGTACGTAGCCAAATCCTTCTAATAGGGAAAACTCAACAAAGAAAGTGAAAAATGTAGGAAAAACGTAAGGGAAAATTAGTTTATTATTAATATCTCGGCTAATTAAAGTCCCACGAAGACTCGAATGGTCAAAATGGCGTGCCACGGACCTGCGGAATCCAACGGTGTGCTTCTCTAAGCCCGGGAGCCAGCCGTTTTGGAGGAGATGAGGTTAATTCACCCCAATATATATATGCGGCTTAAGTGTCTGTTTGTCACCGATAGTTTATTGGTTGCTTGCGTAACTGTACTAGCCAATGTGGTGAAGTTACCACATCACAGGGTTGCCGTTTCAATTGAGACGCAGGAATTTTCCTGTAAAACTTGCCTTTGCTATGACCATCCATAAGTCTCAGAGCCAAACGCTTAAGCGTGTTGGCATTTTTTTACCTGAGCCTGTATTTGGACACGGTCAAATTTATATTGCCTGTTCAAGTGTTCGTGAATGAACGGACGTAAAATTAAAAATAATGGATGGTCCTCTGCAAGGCGAGCTTAAAAATGATGAAAAGATCTACACAAGAAATGTTGTGTACAAAGAGATCTGTGACATGTGAAATAACATTTCATTACTTAAATCAGCTTTATTGATTGAGCTAGCGGTGGCTCTTAAGAAATGTACCGCCAGTGGTTTCCTTCATTTTCACTCTACTTTAAGCAATTAAGCAAGTAGAAGGGGGAAACCCCGTGGGGCAGTAAGTAAAGGGGCGTCCTCGCCGCCTGCCCTGGGTAATTCAGTTTAAATTAGCAGACACCTTTTCACACAAATCACAAATCATTTTAATTACAATTTATAATATCTAAAACAGCGGTTATTTCGTATGACCGCCAGGCTTTCTAATTTTAAATAAATAGCTGCTTTTGGCAACTTTTTTGTTTCATGTTAGGATAACTGAAACGGTATGTTATTGCCCCGTTAATTTCTTTATTGATATTGAGGAAAGTTGTTATATTACATTACATTTAAATCATGACGTCATGTATACGTATCAACCTGAAGTGTCAAAAGTTTTATTTTCTGGTTTGTCAACAAAAAATGATTTACGAATTGGTTGTCGCGTGGAAGGAATGAACTGATTTCATTCATATTGAAATGTTTTTATGCATTTTCTTTTCAAGTGTACACAGAACCTATAAGTTTTACTTTGGCAGCAGCCCGCTAGTAAATTTTAATATATGAACATTTTTCAGGCACGATATTGTGAGCAAATATGATGTCCTCATCTTCAAAAATGATAGAAAAGTTGAAGCAAGGTATTCAAGGCCTGGAAAAAGTCTCCGAAGTAAAAAAAGAGGGAACCCACGAAATTTTGCCATACTTGATGCATGACCTCACACCAGCTCTGATAGAAGAAGCTAGGACCAAACTCAAAGAAACAGATGAAATAAGACCAAAAGCACTAGAAGAATTACGAGAGCTGTTGAAAAGTAAGCTTATTATTCAATAATTATGAATGCTTAATGCTTCTGGATCATATCTAAACTAAAACCAAATTAATTTTTTTCTAAAATATACTTTTATTTTAATGGAATAAAAGGAGAAAAATAATTTATCGTATAATTAAATGCACAGGCTCCCAAAACGGTTGTTACCCCCCAGGGGGATTTGCAGTCATCCATGGGACGGTAGCGGATCCAGAGGCAAATGGGGCATTAATACCGTCAAAAGAGGCGGCCGTGGCATACCTACATATTTAGAAAATTAATGTAATAAAATACTTCGAAAACTCAACGGTTTTTGTAAATAAACATTTTATTTAGCTACTTAAATTTTTATCTTATCGTTATTGCATGCATAAGCATTAAAAATTTAATTAGTATTAGGTCTAGGTATACTATAATTATTTCGATTTATTATTGTCGGAGACAAGCCTTTACAAGATGGTAAGCAAAGACGCGATTCAAGCAATCAAGTATGTTTTCATAAAAATATGGGAGTTTGTAATAGCTTGTTTACGGAGCAAATGGCACTGGCAATCACAAACAAGCAAAGAAGTGTTTCAACAGTAATCCATATTCGTGAGTGAAATGTGATAGATGTCATTATAGCCATTAATTTTGTAACCCTTTATAAATCTGTTGAAATGTTAATTTATTTAAACCGTAGCTAAAGTTTTCTTTCAAAATGTCTGAATTTATGAAGAAAAGTCGCCAGTGCAGTAGTAAGTATTTGAAATATGGGTTTAAGAACTTCTAAAATAAGCATTACCTATGTTTTAATTTGCCAAAAATGTTTTTCAGATGAAGCCAGGGAACTTTCTAGGTTACCAGAGCATTTTAATAAAATGCATGCTGATAAAAGGACAAAGATTTATCCTATTTTCAAGAACTGAAAAGAAATATCTGAAACAGCAAACTGTATCAAAACTTTGTCCGTCTTGACACGAGACACCCTTGATACATTTTCAAGTATAATGAAATATACTTTTGACAACGTAATCCCATTATTAGATTTCATTAGGCTCATGCGCTTTTATTATTCATGATATAAGATTATAGATGGATTTTGTAAACATAATTATTTAATTCCTTATTATTATTAAGCTATGTAATAAATTAATTTTCTCTTTTTAGTTCATTAATTGTTTTATGTGTTTTAACTAAAAGCTTATTTTATAAAACTTTTTTAATTTTTTAATTTTCATCTTTTAGACTCTTTGATACGTTATCAATAAAATTAATCAATTGAAAGTCAAGTTTCAACAAGGAATAATCTCTCTTTCACTTCTAAAAATTCTGTAATGACAAATCGTGGAAACAATTCCGGCGATTTTGTGAAAGAAATTAGAAGTAATGTTGGAAATCTCATGTAAACTTCGCTTAAAAGATATTTTCTCGCTCTACCTGATGGTGCAAGAAGTCAGATTATGGGAGTTTTAGTTTGGTCATGAAATGAAGATATATACGAAAAATCATTGCAATATTAAATTTTAAAATATCTAAATCAAATTTTGAAAATCTCGCTTCGCGACATTGTATGATCATCCCCAATGAATGCGTGTGCAAAATTTGTGCTTCATAGCTTAAACAGAAATTATTAAAAAGAAAATCAAAAGGCAAAGTTTTAGTCATAGCAACAACACAAATGAACTAAACTAAAGCTCGTAATAAACACAGCATTTTTTCAGTGGACAGTTCTTTTGATTAATTTGAATTTTTCTTATGGGGTAAGATTTTCCTGTCTTTCTTTCCCTAACTAAGAATATACTAACAGCACGTTCTGTGGAATCTGAAAGCATATAATACTACATAAGCTGCGAAAGTTTTACACCTATTCGTTTTCATGCAGTTATATCTATTAATTTTGTTTCTTTGTACGTAAGTCAGATATCGAAATTAATTTTCAACCTTTTCCTGCCAATCCAATTTTCTTGAAATTTTTCACATGTACAGCAACTGATAGTGCAGAGGAACTTTTTCAAATTTCTATATCGATTATTTCAGTGCTGAATTTTTCTCACACATTCTTGTTTAACGCTCAAATTAATGACCTTAAAAGTTTGGTCAGAGTTACTGAAATTTTGATTCAATTCAAGCAATTTATCTTCAATTATTTTAGTCAACTTCTAAAAAAATAATGCAAGAGTTTATGAGAAAAGGTAAAGCAAACTTCGTAAACTAGAGAAGAAAAGAAGCTTCCCCAAAAGAAATTTTCGCAGCAGTTTAAGTGTGTACATCGAAAAAGAACTAAAGGAATTCTGATATAAGCTTTAATTGCACATAAGTTATATTGCTAAAATCTCATATTTATGGCATTCTTATCTGGGATGCTATATATATACATATTCAAAACAAATTTGTTAATCTACAGTCTGAACGATCAGATCGCATTATTTTCCCGTTTGCAAATAACGGAGTTTCCGTTATGAAATTTCATGTTTGTTAAAGTACTATGCAACAATCGTCAAAACATTTTGCGTGATAACATCCTCATATAGTGGCACTATCATGAGTCATTATTGTTTTTTAAGCACAAGTAATTACGGTACTCTTTAAGGAAAAGTGGATTTGAGAGGTTATTGACGTAACATTCATCTCTTGAAGAGATTAGTTTGATTCTCAGTTTCCTGATGTATAATAATTTACGTTATTTTTACATAAGAAATCTGAAATTGATTCAAATTATGCCTCATGCGATTAGTAGTGAAAGAAATCTAAACAATCTAAATTCGTTGGCAATGAATAATATTGTAACACATAGTATTTCACTGGTATGGATTAAAATACACAGATGCTCTCAAATGATATTATATTTACAGTAAGGAATGCTGATACTCTGAATTCCTGACTATTCATATGCAGATTTTTATTCCTTTTGTTGATTGCCTGTGTAATTCGCCTTCTTCCTATCAAAAACGAAAGAAAAACAAAATTGTTTCACCTTTCTAAGGTGATAAAATTGTGAGTTTTTGAAAGAAATTTAGTATTTTTGATAAAGTCTTAATGCTAAACTCCAGAATAAAATAATTTTAAAAAACTTAACGCAAATTTACTGCTAAAAATTTGATCCTTGATATCTTAAAGGAAGAAGGCTCTTAAACATAAGCATATTATTCACTAGCAAAGTTACTTCTGGTATTTAAGATCTTTAGTTTCGCAGAATTCTGAAGAAATGCTATGGCGCACAGTTTGCAATACATCAGGTAGCACCTGTTGAAGGAAGGTGTGATACTTCTGTACATCTAGGCGGTCTGGTAAAATACGGTTCAGTCAAATGATCGTGGGTAATCGCCCACTTCACGAAGAACCTTCGCTGGTGGCTTTTCGAACGTGTAGCATGCGGATTTACTGTGAGTCACACACGATTGCTGTATATATTAAATATGCCCTTTGCCCTTAAACAAGTAAAATGCTGCAAACTTTCTTTTCGCCATCGACAGAACAGCTGGTCCACTGGATTAGGTGCTTTCAGCCTGTTGGATCTCGTCGATGGAAAAAAAAAAGCTTTAGAAAAAACTGTGGATGTAATATGTTCTATTGCAGAAACCATCATGCAAATTTTACACGTTGTAGAAATTCCGTTCGATTTAAGTCTTGGATCCGCTGGAAATGGTAAGGGTGTAACTTTTCTTCACGCAAAACAAGTGTATATGGTTGACACCATGGTCACGAGCTTTGTTCGCGTGTTTTGTTCAGATTATTCGTTCATTGCCTCAGAGATTGTATTTATCGTTCTCGCGCTCCTTGGTGAGTCTGTCTCACGACTTTGGCTGCAGAACGAATCTGTCTCCAGGATTAGACAACATGGACCTTGTAAGCGATAGATTAACCCAGTGGGCGGGGCGTGCGTCACCCACATGTCCGCAAGAAAGATCAGGGACGATCTGGTTTACTTTAACACTGAAACCTATGTCGTTTGTATCACATAATTGTTTTTAATTATTAAATGTAATACGTAGTATAAGTGATGAGGTTATGAAAGCCACAGATTTTTCAAATAAGATTTAATACATCTTTTTAAAGCAATTTTTACTGCATTTTGCGCATTCTTTTCAAGCGTAATTCTTGTATAAACATCTTTACTTTGGTAAAACAGTAAAAACTCTAAATACAAAATTTATGAATTTGCTTTTGAGTACAAATGAAGTAAAATTAAATGAGAATGGTGCTTTAAAACAAGCTTTAAGCTTTAAAACATGAAGCTTTAAAACAAATAAAGCAAAATTAAACAAGATCAGATATATTTTAAAAAAAAATTTACGAGAATTTTTAGGCAGTGGTTTTTAAAATTATTATAACATTACAAAACGATCATTTATTTGATCATATGATCATTAATTATTGACATCATAAGATGATTATTTATTTTATTAATTCATAAAATTCGGAGCATAAACTTTTCTCAGTGTAATGAAAATAAATAAATAAATAAATAAAATCTGGAAGCACTCAGATTTTACGTTACGCTCGAAGGGACGTTTTTTAACGCTTTGTGTGTTGCTTCTATTTATTCAATATCATGTTCTTCGCACGCAAATCACACAAAATTCAATTCAACAGCAATATCACACAATATTTGAAAACAGCATATCTTTAAAATTTCCGCGCTGGAGATAAAAATGTTATTTTCTGTATAGTGTTGACATCATTGCTCGCTTTGAACTCGTTGAGTTTCTTAATCAAAAAGTCGTCAAAGTTTTACAAAATATGAAATGGGTTAAAACAAATTCGAAATTCGGCTGTTCGGGTAGAGCATTACGTTCAAAATTTAATGGCTCTAGCGTCATTTTTTCACAGTGCGAGAAACATACATGTATTCATGCAGATTATTCATTATTAAATTTCTTTAAATATAATACAAGGTGATAATATTTGGTGGCATCAATTTGCAAATTGAAACCGACGTTTATAATGAAACAGCGCAAAATGCCGTTTCGAAACTAATAGCCTTTCTGGGCTACCGCCCCTTTGGACTAATAAATTAAATTCACAGTAAATAAAAAATCTTATGCAGAACTAGAATTAAATTTAAAAAATAATTGCTATAAAATGTTAGCACAATCAATTATTACAGTTTACAATTTTGACATTAGAATTAAATGTATAAAAATTATTAAGGTGTTAAAAGTGTTTATCACTATAATGTATTTTGAAATATAATTGAAATAAAACTCCTTTATAAAAATATGCTATAATATTCACCTATAATATTAAAAAAGTAGCACAGCTTAGAATTTTTAGCAAAAACTTTCAAAAATTCATTTTTAGGTATTTTTTACTTATTTACGCCAATAAAAAATGATAAGAGAAAATTCTTTGTTTGAAATTTTCTATTAGTTCAGATTTAAAATATTATTTTCTAAAAGAAGTAGTTACAAATTTCTTTACAACACAGGTAAAGCTAAAAAAATAGCCAGGCCTGAAAGCATGCAACAGCTTTATAATTATTTGGAACGTTAATTATGCTTGATAAATATGCTAAATTTTTAAAAATCAATCTCAGTTTCAAAAATAAAAATATCTAAAAATTCTAATTTGTAAAATGAGGCGCTACAACCAACTTTTTCTTGACAATTATATACACTGCAATAGCCAATCATTGTAAGTTTCTACAAGTCGTCCCTTCTCCTCCGGATGTAGTCAAGGTGACAGCCGGGAATGCGTCAGAAGAGGGAGAAAAGCCATTATTTGGGTTGGTCTATTTCTTATAAAGTCTATGCTGCACAAGCGTTTACGTATTCTCCGGTCAAGCAACACCAACTCCTATTAAAGTCTTACTGCTTCTACGGTATTGCCATTTCTGTCCAGTGCATAAGGTGCATAGAGGTCTTCTCTGCACTCGGGCATTGCTGCATCTTCAGCGACGAATACCAGTTGAAGGACGAGTTCTACAAAAAGTGATGGCTCTATCCGATCCATAGAAAATGGCCTATTCTATCTGCCATTTGCTTTCCGATCTCACACTGTATGAGGAAAGTTGTTTGTTTTGGAAAATTCTATCATAAATAAAGCTATAACCATTAGGTTTGCTACACTCTGCAGACTATAGTTATAATTTGCATGATGTAAAGTAACTTGGAAATACTTGTCCTAATCCTCGAACGCCATCCGCATGTTTAAGTTGGTAACTTAGTAAGTTATTGCTGCTGGCAGTGCTTGGCTATCAAAACGTGATATAACATATTCATCTTTTAATTGCGACTTGTGTTATAAAAATTTAATTGATAACAAATTAAAATCGAGTGCTTCTCATCAAGCTTTACAACAACAACCAGAGTGCCTTTATGTTAAAGTTACGATTTGATTGCTACAATATCGTAGCTCCAGTGTACAATATACACGAGATAGGGAACAGATAGCTAACTTTTTTATTTGCCTACCGAGCACAGTTAATCTTTCGACAATTTTGTCACACTTACAGCAAGCAACTTCCACACGGAACAAACTCCAATATCCTCCCATCCAAAGACTGACTTCCTATTTTTAAACTCGTATTAACCCCTTGTGTTAAAGTAGCTTGATATTCAATTTGCATAATCTTCTAAGCTGAGAAAGTACCGGGACGAGCCAAGTAACATAGACTATAAATTAACTTAAAACTAAATATTAATAAAACTTAAAAGCATAATTCTCCCACAGTAAAGCAATAAGCTGAATTCGAATGCGGGTTTATAAATAATGAATTCGTATATGGGTTCATGTCTGACGCCCTCATAGCTTTGGGCGCGGTCAGTTTCAATATTTATAAAATACCAAAATTAATATAAAACATTTTTCTAAAAGAAAATTGAAAATATTTGTAAGTATTATTTTTATTATATTAATCAAAGCTGAAACTATATATTTATGCTGGCTGTAGAATTCGTATTTTATTTCACACAAGATCTATTTTTTTTTCATCATCAGTGTCTTCTTGTTATCCGTGAATGTTCTTGCATTAGGATGGATAAAGAGGAACTTTGTGGACCAGAAAATTTACAAGAAGTTTAGACTTCTTTTAAGATTTGATTTATAGTTTCGTTTAACTAACTATTATGAAACACCATATATTAATTCCATCAAAAACACAATTTAGAGCTTTATCTTTAATCACTGCTCTTATGGGTAGTCCGTGCAGGGTTTCCTGGCAGCAACGAGCAAGATATATTTAAAAATATTCTAGAACGTTCTTTATGAACGTTTATGAATTTCTGCACTCCTATGTTAAAAAATTCTCGATAAATGCTTGCAGAGTAATTCATTAGGAATAAAAATATATAACCTCAAAGTATCATCAACCGGAAAGTACATACTTGCTCCAGCATTCTTACAACTCCTGGGAACATTGGTAAAATGGATTTTGTGGATCTGCCATAGATTTACCATCGCGTCGTTTTGGATAACTGCAATTATCTAGAAACGTGGACAACTTTGTTGAAAGTGAAAAGTTAATGCAGTGGGTGAGAAATCTGACTACTAAGGTGGTTGTCAAGCAACGGTGGTGTGTTTTTGATTACAGTAATCCCAGCTTCCTAGCTGAAACTCTCAAAAGATGCTTTAACTTAAGATGCTCAAAAGATTTTTATGGTGCGTAGCGAATTACGATGGTGCGTATAATGGCACATTTTACGTTTCTTTTACTCAGAATTCGCTAATGTCCTCTGACAGCCAAATTCAGTTATTTCAAATTTCTTTCACGTTCATGACAATTCCACGAACGTATTGAACAGAGCAGTAATAATTCTACTGGTACTCTCGATATCATTTTTATTTTGTCTTAGAGGCCCACCAGCGGCCGAGCGGTAAAGTCGCTGAACACTGGTAGTTCGGTCCGAGGTTCGAATCCCGCGAACGGGCTGGCTGCATGGGTGTTTTCGTGGTTTTCCCCATGTGTAACGTGTATACGAGCCAGTTTCCCTTAGAAAGTCCTCCACGAAAGGCATCCCTCCCCTTAGGCAGATAGCCCTAGTGTGCTTTGCCGTAATTAAAATACACATACACATATTTTGTCTTAGAAACTCAGCTACTGTAACAAATTCCGTCACGTTCAAAACCAACTATAAACAACAAAGCTGACAGTTTTGTATTTTGTTAATATTATATTTATCTGCTCCACATTATGGTCTATTACTTTAAATTAGGCCCTTCGAGGTCATAGCTCTCCTCCCCTTAGTTACGATAATAGCGTGTGTTATCATCACCTGATAGAGAGAATTAAGAGATTTTAGAAAATTATACTATCTGACCTTTTCTTCTGCAGTTGTCGTCTTCATTATTATAAGTGATGGTTTGGGGGAAGAAATTACCTTGAAATGTCTAAAGTAATTATAGTAATGTACGTATTGCCGGCAAGTTACAAAAAACAGGCAGACGCCATGAAAAAAATCTCTTCTGAATGCATTTTAAATCAGTTTTATAATTCGTTTGGGGGAAAAGATTCCTTTATTCTGTCCTTACGAACAGATGTCACTCAAAAACATCGTTAAATTGCATTCGATGGTGGTCAAAATGGATATTTTCGTTGGAATATGATACTCGGAATTCTTCGTGATTACAATAGTTCCTTTACTATCTTTTAAGAGGAAGTACTTTATTTTATATTTCCTAAAGGAAGGAAAAAAATATTAAAACATATAAATAAATTAAGTACAAACGTAAATGTAATTGGCTTAAAAATAATAAACTTTCTTATTTTAGATTTTAAACGAATCTAAGACAAATAATAAGTGACAGTTTCTTGAGCTTCAGGTGAAAAGAAAACTCGATAATATCTGTTAATGATATAATATTTCCCCCTCTATTTCAGATGAAAAGAACTTGATTACACCGGTAGATGATCTGTTTCTTCTGTCATTTCTTCGTGCTCGAAAGTTTAACGTGAAAAAAGCTTTCAAACTGATACAAAATTACTGGTCTTTTCGGAACGAGTACAGCCATATCTACGATACAGTAGAAACGCAACCGGTACTGGATATGCTATACCGGAATTGTTTAGGTTTCCTTCCTTACAGAGATAGGCAAGGTTGCGTCGTAGTGATCTGCAAAATAGGTGAGTTCATAAGAGAAAAATAAAAATAAATAAATAAAAATAATTATTACCCTTTTTGATCAAATTTTTGTTTTCCATTTTATGAAATACGTTTCAACAGTTTTATTATGGATACTACTAAGATTTCTGAAATTTGCTATAATGTGCCAGAGAAATGCCTGAAAAATAAGTAAATATTGCAAGGAATTTTTTTTCTTCCTATGCGCCTTCATGGTGTACCTGGATGCATCCACGTTTGGCTATCATCAAGAGGTAAGTAGTTCGAATCTTGACGAGGCCACTGTTCATCTCTTCGGTTTCCTGGTTCTAAAAATTCAAAATCGGTCTACATGTGGCGCTTGAACTAAAATATGGTGGATAACAATTCCTCACGATCTAAATTCGGAGAATGCGTCGGTCCACTTCCCCCCCAAATCGCACTTTAAAATGAAAACAAATATAGGGTATTTTCTCTCTCTTTATAGTGTGCATCATGGTGTAACTGGAAATCACGTCTAGCTAGCATTTAGAATCTTTGGCGTTCGCATCCTGGGAAGAGCAGAGCTGATTTTTCATATTCCTTGTTTTAAAAACCTAATCGCTCTACAAGAGGTACCTGTACTACAATGGGGTATGCGACCTGGATTTGGCAATAGGTTTTCCATCTTCCGTGTTGCCTTTTAAGTAGAGAAAAACTTTTTCTCCTTCCTTACCTTAATTGCAAGCTTGTCTGATTAACATCGAGAAGTTTGGAGTTCGAATCCCAGCGAATCCTTCTAAAAGTTTACAAAATTTCGTAAACTTCTTAATATTATGCGATTTGGAACTGCAAAAATTTCCAATTTCGTTTTGCAAAGTTTGAAATTTGCAAAAACAAAATTCTTTTAACAGTTAAAAAGTTTTAAGAACTATGATGATACCTTTCTCCATCCTATTACAGACTGCTTTTACAATTTGCTCATATACATGCACGAAAAATTTAATTTCCTATTTAAATGTTTTGTTCTTAATGATGTCTGAGACTCTCAATTTAAAATACATTAAATCAGTGGTCTCAAAATCATATTGCCCACTGGCCGCATGGACGATTTGAAAACAGCTGATGGTTCAAATGTTTTGAACAAAATTTTAAAAATTTATCAAGAAAATTAAAAATATTTAAAATAAATTACAAATTTTTTAAAGTATTTTTCAAAGCATGCGTAAACAATCATTATAATATTTCAAAGGAAAGAAATTTAGGCTTACATAAATATATTTTCTATCTGAAATCTAAAATTTTGTACCTTTAAGACTTTTTTTTTTTGGTTACGTTTTGTAATATAACTATACTGACGGCTAAATATTAAATTTTTAGACTTCATTTATTTAAAATAGTTCTAACATGTTTAATTTATCATTAAAAACTTATTTAAATTTAAACTGATGAAAATTATGAAATTTTCTTAATTATGATTAAAAACTTATTTAAAGAGATGGAAATTATGAAATTTTCTTAACATGCCAGAGAAAATTTCCCATGTAGGGTAAAACTTTCGAATAAATAATAACAACTCAATCTCTTTCTCTTTTTTATTAATATTTTTTGTCTCATAAATAAAAATGCACATGCTTGTTTGTAAATAATTATAAACTTCTTTAATTTCTTAATACAGCTTGACCCTTAATGGTATTTCAATTTTCATAAAATTTTTAGCCTTGGAGAGAAGTCAGAAATTACCTTCATCGTGAATAGCAGATACGCATCGGTCAATCGGTTTCTTTACTCATTAATTTTTAACTGTGAAATAACGGTGTTCACGTTTAAATGTATACCAAAACAAAGTTTTTAATCTTTGTGCAAAGATTTTGAACTGAACTTGATTATTTTTTAACAAGTTTGGATATAATTTAATAAAATCTATATCTTCATATCTTTGAATAATATTTATATCACACTGTAAATTAGTTACCTCCATTTGTCGATTTTCCGATGCGTTGTTTGTTCACTTTAGCTTTCAATGGTTATGAAAACAATGTAAACTCTGATTAAAATCTTGAAATCTTTGCAAGAATATATTGGCGAAACATAATGATTGAAATGTATTCGCGGGCAGAATAAAATTGCTTTGGTGACCACATGCGGTCCTCAGGTCGCCATGTGAGACTACGGTATTAAATAATAATATTTCACTTTTTGAAATTTGATCCTGCTAAACTATTAAAAGTATGAATCGTTTATGTCAAAAATCAGCTTTTCTGATCATCAAACTGGATTTTTGTAATGGCCAGAAAAATTTGATTTCATGTTAAATTAGTTTTAAAGAAATAACATACTTAACCACTTGATAACATTCGGTTAACGATCTAATATTTAATTAACGAAGAACCCAATCAAACTAACTTTTCAAAGATAAATTTTCTAATTTTGGTTTTAAAGTTAAAAGGAACATTGCTGATTCCAAAAAATTTACAATAATACATTTAGGTTTAAAATACCAAACTTAAGCAAATTAAGGTAAAATTTGTAAAATAACAAAAACAAACACCTTTTTTAAAGAGAAGTTTTAAAATCTTCATTTTAAATAATTTTGTCTAATAAGTATCATGGAAAGACAAACTAAAAACAAAAAGCAACATAGTAGTACTAATTTAATATGATTATGATGCAAAGAAGTCAAAAAATTAAGAAAGTGTAACTGATAGAGAAATTTATTTGTTTTTAAAAGTTTTTTTTTTCAATACTAGTTTTCCCGTATTAACTAGATTTTTCAAAACTCCATTCAACAAACAAACTTGAAATTTTATTCATAACGTTTCTTACCTAAATATGTTAAGTCAGCTTATATCAATTTATACTGGGGAGAAATAAATTATTGAATCACTGATTTTGTTTAAAAATGGCCTCCATTTCTTAAGTTTTTCAAATTTTCTCATGTTCAAAAAATGTTCTTAACTTTTATCATGTAGGTGTTAGAATAAAATAGGTTTACTTTTATTTGTGTATATGATTATAAATATCAGGGTAAATTAAAAGTGTTCCTATGAAGCAAAAAATTATATATCTGAAATCCATCATATCACCTCCCCTTAAACACTTTTCAAACATAACTTCAAATGTATCCAGTATTGAAAGCAAAGAATCTATTTTTGGCAGGATTGCCGTCAGATAAATAATTATGAATTTTTTACAAAAAGAAAGATGTAAGAAAGGTGATGATATTTCATAACAAAAATAAAAGAATATGGAAAAAAAAAGAAATGAATTTTTATTATGAAATGGAATGTCTGGATGAGATTAAAAACTGTTATTCAGAATTTTATGAATAAATACGGACTTTAATCACTGATTCTTTATGGAAAAGAAACTGCACCTGTGGCCGAGGAAGAACATTAAATACTGACATGAATCCCAGTGAACAGGCCTTACCTGAGCATTTTTGCAATCCTTTACATTTGTAATGTGATCCCGAGTAATTCTTGTCTAGGGAAGCCTCCCTGAAGGCATCACTCATATTAGACAGGGTCACCTTAGGCCCTTAAAAGCTTTGATATAATCGTTTGCGCATTAATTTTTTTAATGTGATAAAAGCATACTTACAGTTTGAAAAATGAAACTGGAATCCAAGCTTTAAAATATATTTTCTGCACGCTTTTTTAATGTTTATTGAAAATCTTCTTGGTGCTATTGTAGGACAAGAAGAGATTCTGTAAACACAACAACACACCATTCTCCGGAGGCAGGCTAAACAAACGTTTTCTTTATCTAACATCAAGCAATCACACAGCTCGAGTTAAAAATGCAGAGGAATGTTATTGCAATGAAACTATTAGCAATATGGAATAAATTTGGATAGGATTTATTAAATTATCGCAAAACATACTGCTCTCTGCCTAATGAGAGAGATCTCATCTTGAAGGCCTTTTTAAAGGGAAATTGATTCGTATTCGCATTACACATGAGAACAGAATTTGCTAAAATATTTGTTATTTAGAAACTTTCCAATGAAATTTATCTGCTATTCATAACCTATTACTTCTTAGTGCTTAAAGATATATTATTCCATATTAATATGTATGTAATACAGTTCATTAACTTGAGTAATAAGGCGGACCATGGCTGAAAAATGCTGCTGCTGAAATAAGTAAGCTACTAAAAAAATCAAAATAAATCACACAGCATTTATTTTCCTTTCCCAAGCTTCATGCTCGTAATTTATTTGATTATAAAAATTAAAAACTATTAGCTGAATTAATATATGGGCTTTTTACTCCATAGGCATGTGGGATCCTAGTGTGGACACTTACGAAGTGTTATTTCGTGCAGCGACTGCAATTCTAATCCATTCCATGCAGCTTCCCGCAACGCAAGTTGCTGGGTATCGTGTGATTTTTGATACCAGAGGTTTATCATGGAAGCAGCTAAAAATGTGTACGCCTTCTAACATAATACTCTTAATACGTTCTACCCAAGTAAGTAGAATCAGTTTTATATTAGTTTAGAGTTGACATTTTAGTTGTAAATATAAATTAATTGTTATTTATAAATGAAGACGTACAATATCTCGAATGTTATATAAAAATGGGAAAATGCATTTTATGTGAAATAAATAAAATGATATATACGCATCATTAAATTTTTCAAATATGAAAATATTTTGTGTGTCTATTTATGATTCAGGATAGCATTTCAAAAGAATATTGAATGTTAAAGAGTGGCTTTGAAATTAAATTGAAAAATATTTTAAATAAATACGTACGTACTTCTTTTTTTCTATTATTTAATTACTGTTTCACAAACTGGGTCTCACTTGGGGATCGGAATCACTCGATGTAACTTGTGTTTCCGGATTACAAACTGTAACAAACAGTTTTTGTTACAGTTATTTGTTCTCCCAGAACAAATAAGGGCAAAAACTGGTATGGTACACTTGAAATCATTGACAAACGATTCGAAACATATTTCCTCATCCCACCTAGGTTTCTAAAATGATCACATTTTTTGAAAACCGGGCTGTTAGGTTGTTCCCGTTTTAATAAGAGCTTACCCATAATTTTCTGAGTATGTTAGAATTTCTTATTCTTTTAAGGAATTATAAAATGCTTCTAAAAATATCCGTTTGATTCGTTGTAGATATGGATAAAAACGTACAGCTTTGGAATAATTTCAATAGTTCTAGCTATATTTTATATATGATTTTATATTGTAAAATCAAAACGTTAATCTTTTTACTCACTATCATATTTTGAAATTTTGGACAAAAGTTTCATGCTTCCTATTCGGTAATATGAAGGTAACATTCGGATATGACGTGTTGTAACTTTGTAACATTTTAATAAGGTTTCGTTATTATTTCCACCTTTTAGAGTGATATACGTATTTCCACCTTTATGATATATTTTTGTTTTTTAATTTGCTTTATCTTTTTTTAAAATTCATTGCTTATCCCCGCTGCTTGCTTTTGTGACATTTATGATCAGTTAATTGTTTTACCAACACATAGCTTTAACGTCTTTCCTTTATGCCTTACTTTATCACATTACTCGCTCAGATATGAGGTTTATGCAAATTCTACAGCAAGCGACGTAGATTAAGGTGGACGTCTTAATCCACATCTCGAAAGATCTTTACCGTTGCATTACCAGTTGCTTTGAAAAGTCGGCCATAAAGCAGAAGGTTGGAATGACTGATGTTAGCCCAATGCTGTAAATGTTAGAAAGCCAATTCCCCCCTCATCCGACACCAAAGCGCTATAATTATGATAAAATTTTGGGCATTGTAATCGCGTCAATAAACTATAGCTTAGGAATCAGTCACTGCAGTTGATAGTCAACGGGAGGTCACATTATTTATTTTATTACAATTTTTAGTTCTATTACCACAGCTAATGTAGTGGGTAATAAAGTTGTTTTATGTTACAGTTTACCTGTTGAATTTTATTTCGTGTTTCACAGCAAGCACTAAGACAGACGATGAATCCTCAACCATTAATGTTAACTTTCTGTGGTCAGCAGTTAGGTTTGAGAAACAGTTTTTGTTAGTTAAACACCTTTAGAAATTGTAATTCATTAAACCAGCTATAAAATAACTACATATAGAGACTATCAAAGATAATAACATTGAATATAAGAAAACGTTTACTCATGTGAGGACATCGATTATTATGATCCTTCTTTTTGCTGAATGAACATAAGTAATATGGAGTAAGAATTCGAGTTTGCTTTGCGCTAGAAAGCATAATTATTGTTATCCACTCCATTCTTGAATCGCAACAAGACTTTTTTTTTTATTGAAATGCACTCTAAATAACCTTCAGTTTTCTAATTTTAGGCAATATTTTTATACGTTCAAAGAGATGCATATTTCTTTAATTTTAATACACAAAGAAACCTAATATGATTCTAAAAAGTAAAAACAAAATTTTTATATCTCTCCTGTGCTATAGCTGCAGAACTGAAGCACAATAAGCTTAAAGAGTTTAAAGTTAAAAGTAAATTAGAGTCAAAGCGAGGCAATTCCTCAACAACATTAATAATTGCAACCGTGTATAAGACGTTTAACACAATATCTAAACAAATCAAAATTAAAATAAGAATTCATAGTAGTACAAATGCGATAAATAAAAATGCAAAAGGAAAAAAATATACAAAGTAATACAATTTTAAATTAATCTTCTTTTACTGATATTCCAATTCAGAACTCGTCAGGGGAAAATGAACTAAAGTTTCATAAAAGTTGATTAATAGGTCTCGAAAACGTGTTTCGTTCTCCTGGTTCATATAAGATCAAAAACCGAAAAAAAAAATCAATTAAATTTTCATTTATGACATGAAATTCATATAAGACCGAAAAATCGAAAAAACATTGTGTCAAATTGACTAGTCAAAAAAAAAAAAAAAAAAAAAAAAAAAAAAAAAAAACATAAAACTTTATATTATGCAAAATGACCATTCATAAAAACCAAAATTGGTCTAAAATCATTATATGCAAATCCGAAATTCAAAAGCCACTACAAATAAAGAACAGTACAAGTAAATTTTAAAACAAATTGCCAACCCTAAAAAATGGGTGGTCTCCAATTATGCTGAACTAAACTTTTAATACAAAGGAAACGAAAAACTTTATTAAAGAAATTTATTTAGATAATAAAATCAAATCTGAGCCCTAATCAGCTAAAGACTGAAATTCTATTGGAAACAAAAATTGAAAAAAGCGCAAAACTTACTGAAAACTTAGGAAGACTTTTAAAATGAAAATTCATTGAATTTTTAGACGACCAAACTACAGGGGTTGGACAAAAATATGGAAACACCTTTAAAAAAACATGTTTCTTTGCTTAATATGGTGTAGGAAACCCGTTGGCATCCAAAACAGCTTGCAGTCTTCTCGGAATGGATAAATACAGTTCCTGTATGTTTACCAAGGGAATATTATACCATTCTTCCTGCAAAACGGTGGCAAGTTCAGATAACGATGTTGGCGGTGGATAACGAGAACGCACTTTCCGTTCCAATGTAGACCACAAAGGTTCGATAATATTCAGGTCTGGTGACTGTGGTGGCCAGGGGAGATGGGACAACTCATCCTCGTGCTCAGAAAATCAGTCCTGGACAATGTGAGCTGTGTGAACAGGGGCTTTGTCGTCTTGGAAGACACCATCACCATCGGGGAACAAAGTTTGTACCATGGGATGAACTTGATCAGCCAAAATGTTCATATAAGTCTTGGTAGTCATGTGCCCTGACACAGTTATCATGGGGCTAGCAGAGAACCACGATATGGCTGCCCAAACCATAACAGAACCCCCGCCATGTTTCACTCTTGGCAACAAGCAGTCTGTATTATAGTCTTGAGATGGCGTTCTCCAGACGTAAACTCGGCCAGAAGTGGGAAACAATGTGAAAGAAGACTCGTCAGACCATATTACTCGCTTCCACTGCTCTATAGTTCAGGCTTTATGACTTAAACACCACCTTTTCCTGTTACGGGCATTAGCATCACTGATGAGTGGCTTCTCAATTGCAGCACGGCCAGCAATTCCCTGTTTATGAAGCTCCCTTCTAATTGTTTTGGTACTCACAGGGTTCGGTAACACAACATTCATTTCAGCAGTAACTTTTGCAGCTGTGGTCTTCTTATTTTTCGTCACAATTGCCCTTAATGATCGTCTGTCACGATCACTCAGGACACACTTTCGTTCGCGCTGTGATTTAGCAGATGATGTTTTTCCGCTTTTCAAATATGCGGAATAAATCTTCGATACAGTACCTCTTGAACACTAAACACCTCGGCTATCTTGCTTATGGAAGCACCTACCATACGTGCTCCAACAATTTGCCCACGTTCGAAGTCTGTTAACTCTGACATAATGCAATGACAACCTCACATAACAGTACTCCGACAACAACTGAACTGTTTAGCACATTTACGAAGTTGTATAGGTGGCGTCAGTAGTCAAAAACGCCAGCGCCACCTACATATTTCATTAAAATCAATCTTTCTTTTCAAACATGCATTTCACAAGGTGTTTCCATATTTTTGTCCATCCACTGTATGTTCCTTGTAGAATTCAAAGTAGAAGCTCTTGGAGAAGCAACAAATTTAGTCCTTAGAAAAAGGTATGCGACGAGGTTCAAAGTGTCCAATAGCAGAACTAAGTATTTAAACATGTGTTCAAAATGCCCTATCCTGTTAAACTTTGTGTGCGGGGGTACCAAACGTTGGATGCGGTCTGTAAAAATTTAGTACCTAAGAGGAGGATGATCGTCGACTCCAAAATGGTGGCGAAAGAAACTTCTAAAAGATGCTGTCTTCTGTAAAATATTAAAAAGCGAAAGCAGTACTGGCTCAAAGTTGAGCAAAAGGAAAAATATATGTTATAAAAGATAAAAGTCTTCACTTAATCGGGATACAATACGTCTTTGAAACTAGGATCCCCATTTTTTAATAAAAGCTAGAAGATTTGCCATTTATTAAATTTACAAAATAGTATAAAGATAGCATAAATAATTGAAAGGGAAGAGAAATAAATCTCTGTATATATTTACACTAATAAAAGCTAGAGGATTTGCTACTTATAAGATTTAAAGAATAGTAGAAAAGTAGTGTAAATAATTGAAAGGGAAGAGAAACAAATCTTTGTACATATTTACATTAAATTTCTTATCGTAGTCATCCAACTATTACCTCCGATTAAGTAATAATTATCATATCACTTTAGATGAGAAAAAAATGTTGTTAATACCAGCTTTCTTTAGAGTTATAGAAATTTTGAATAAAGGTGTTTTATTCTCTAAGAGAATTTTGAGTAAGTATTCGACATTGTTGCAAATATTTTTTATTCTAAGGAGTTGAGTATGTATGGTATTAAGTTTTATTTTTTTAGAGATATTCGAGGGCCAATGAATGAGTTTTATAGTAAAGAAATCAAAATCTCTTCCTTTGTCGTAAATTTTGATACCTTTAAAATTGATGATTTGCAAATATAGGTAATTAATATCTC